CACACTTAGACGGCAAAGGCACTTATACTTTGATTAAGAAAATGATCTCCTTTACTTCTTTCTTTTCGTTTCTGATTTGGTGAGCCTGCTTTTCTTGCCCCACGGAGTGTCTTGCCCACTTCCCCAGCACAGTGTAGCCAGCTAGTTAAGGACTGCGTGGCTAACCTCCCGGTCCTTCCGCTTCTTCCTTCCTCCGTTCCTTTCTCCCGAGCTTGCTTCCCCTGATCTGTAGGCTTTCCCGCAGTGTATGTCGAAAAGCAGTCAAAGTTTGACGTCACACCGTGCAACGAAGCTTCTACCAAGTCTCCCGAGCTGAAGGTTCCCCTGATGCGTTAGCTTTCGCGCAATGCATGTAAAAAAGCAGCTAAAAATGTTGAGGCCCTTATCACTCCTGATAAGGATCAACTTTTGTCTGACGTCACACAGTGCAACTAAGCTTATACCGTACGTTTATGGTAGCCTCCCGAGCTGAAGGTTCCCCTGATGCGTTGGCTCTCGTGCAATACATGTCAAAAAAGGAGCTGAAAATGTTGAGGCCCTTATCTTCCTGCTGAGGCTCAACGTTTGTCTGACGTCACACCGTTCAACGAACGTTATACTGTACGTTTACATTACTCACCCGAGCTGAAGCTTTCACTGATGCATTGGCTTTCCCGCAATGCATGTAAAAAAAAACAGACGAAAAAATTAAGGCTTTTATCACCCTTGATAAGGCTCTACTTTTGTGTGACGTCACACCGTGCAACGATGGATATACTGTACGCAAAGTCAATTTTTTTCATGCTTCCTGGTCAATGCGCGTAGTGCACTTTGTGTGTTTTGCATTAGACTAGCATTGCCAATTTATTGTATATTCACATAGCTATTTGTAACAAGAATTACTACTGCTTTGCAAATCGTGCACCGCGGACTGTGTTACTGGTCGCGTGTAAACTTTATGTTCAAACTCTGCACTGCACCACTCCTGCCTTGGCTGCCAAAGAGTGGCTGGCAGTATTGAATAAATAAATAAATCTAAATAGGTCGTGAAAGTTGGAACAAAAAAGAGGTCCAAAACCTATTGCGGCAGACATCAACAAATGCGTGACGATTGAAGCGCGACTAGGTGGGGAGCTAGGTACAAATATTGAAAACAAAATAATAATAAACGTTTAATTTCAATAGTTTTAGCTTTGTTAGAAAAAATTACAAAAACGCATAAAAAACTGAGACAGAAGTTGACCCTATTAGGGGTGATAAGGGCCTCAACATTTACATCAATTGTAGGAAAGCAAACACATCAGGGGAAGCTTGATCTCTGTAGGCTCTAATATAAACGCATGGTACATCCTTTGTTTTAAATGCGAACCTACCTACCTTCCTACCTTCCTGCCTGCCTGCCTGCCTGCCTGCCTGCCTGCCTGCCTGCCTGCCTGCCTGCTGCCTGCCTGCCTGCCTGCCTGCCTGCCTGCCTACCTACCTCATGTAGGTAGGCTGCCTGCCTGCCTGCCTACCTACCTCATGTAGGTAGGTAGGTAGGTTGACACCTGATGTCAACTCACCTTTGACATTGACGGCTGGTTTGTAGTTGGGCCAAGGCAGCTTGCATCCAGAGGTGTGGCACTCGAAATCTGGCAGGATTCTTTCAATCTGCAATAGCCCACAAACTATAAGTCACGAACTTATGGCGTTTCAGAGACAAAAAGGGTGCAAAGTAAAGCCCCAATATACGAACACAGTGACCGGCAAGTGGCCCCAACCACTCCCACTTAAAGTACTCCCTCACGCCCCCGAACGCATTCATAAGCTCATCGGACAAGGCATCCCCTCCTGTGTTGACCGTGGAAACACAGAAACCCTGGATCATTGACCTCCTGCTCCACTGTCCTGCTTTCAGCGGGGCAAGAAGCAATCTCCTGGCAGTCTACGCTAAGCTTGGCCTCCCAAAGACAACATCCAAGCATCTGATCTTCAATTGCTACTGGTGAAATGACGCTAATATGTCTTATTGACACTGGTCGACTTTACAAGACTCCGAGAGCACTTGTAATTTTTTTTTCTCTCTCTCTCTATTAGGGGCGAAGCTCCTTATACTGTAGGGACGTCATAGTCATAGTAGCCAGCTGCATTGCATTGCATGCCAATAAAAATGGTATCACAGCATATCCACGGAGCAAATGATGATGAGTGGGGCGAAGCGTCCGTTAGTCAGTCCGTTCGTGCTTCAGTGCGCCCATCCGTGCATCTGTCCACCTGTGCATTCATCCGCCCGTGCCTCGGTTCATGCATCCATACGCTTCGCTCCATTCTCATCATTCACCTCCTGAATATGCTGTGATTTTTTTAATCAAACTCCCTGACTTCTCTGCACTCTATTATTTTATTCCCATTTTCATTTCCAAGTGCCCCACTGCTGAGGTGTCGTTCTTAGTGTGAGACAGTTGCGGGATGCACAATCAAATTTCTTCCTTTTCCATACAAAAAAAAAACAACAACTACCCCCCCCCCCCCCCCCAACTCCTTCCCCATTGTGGCTTGTTCTTCAGCCAAAATATGCATCCTAAGGAAGCATGTTACCGGGCCCGAGTCAGCAGCAAGCTCTTACGTGGTCTCTGGCTTCTGTACTGGCCTTGTGAAGGTTTATGTATAGTTTTTCCACAACGAAGGAATTAGCTGCTGTGCACAACCAATATTATAGGCGCGATGAAACTGTCATGCATGTTTCTTTTAGAAATACCCGCATTTACTTACATGAAAGAACTCTAATCTGTTTTCGATGCTGGAGAATGATCGAATCTAAACAATATTCCAACATCGGTTAGACAAACATCAGCATAAGGCCTTCATCAGAGCTGTTTAAATTGTTATGTGTGCTCTGATAGTTTATTATTTCTTTGTCCTAACCTTTTAGCCGCCGCCGACGCGTGCTGTCACAACGCTGTGCATCACCACAAAACCGGGCCGATGCCGACGATCAAACCTCCGCACAGTAGTCCGCCTAGCTGACTGCTCAAAGTGTCCACGATAACCACCTCGTGAGATCTGCCCAGAGTGCAACGCAAAAATTGTTTTTACACAATATCACCGACAGCACAATATCTGCTTCTCACTGCAGCATTGTCTGATTTCAGTGAGTCTGAACAATTTATGCAATTTTAAGGTGCTAAAAGCAAAATAATAGTGTCACAAATAAGTGTAAGATGTATGATCTTCTACTCGCCCAAATGTACACCCCTCTGTAAGTGTGTGCCTTGCCTAGGTGCGGCCATTGTGACCCTTGTGATGAGTGCGTTAGTACACTCAAGTAAGCTCTTCCAAGTTATAGCATCTGTACCTTGTAGACCCACGTTAACCTTCAAATACTCTTACGCCAGGGATCGAATTTTCTTTATTAGGTAATACAGTGAAAGCCTGATCCACTGTAAAACCTGATCGTGAAACCACCCAGTTCAGTGGTAGCATTACGCCATAGTTGTGTAGATGGTATGTTTTCATTTCATCAGCGCTTCTCCACTTTGCGGGCTTTCGCGGATGGTGCTTGCCTTTGACAATCTATACTGCCCTCCTTACCTATACAGTGTTGTACTGCATTACACTATACACTAAATCAACACAAGGATGACAACGTCTACACGAAATATACAAATTATATTTACGCCTTCTCACCCAGTCTGATTCTCGGAGATAACCAGCTCTAAACTTGTCTGATGTGCTTTTTTGTTTTGTCTAACAACTACTGGCTTTCTATATAACTTTAAGAATTACATAGCTTTTACTGTTCATTATTTAACACATTGTATGTGGTGCAGCAGAGCCGTCGTCACTTTTATTTTTATTTATTTATTCATAATACCCTACTGGCCCCGAAGAGCATTGAGGCGGGGGGGGGGGGGGGGGTGTTACAGACAATTCACCATAAAGCATAAAAAATTTCCACCATAACACTTGTTTAACTATACTATACTATACATCATAACTGCCTTTGCTAGAAAGTTTCAGTAAGGAAGCTTGTAGCTGACGAGAGCACTTCCAATGGTTCAAAAATGTTGGCAAGTCAAGGTACTGCTATGAACGCGTGGCGATCAGTCACGCATTTAGTATTCAGTCTAGGTGCGTGCAATGAGAATGCCAGAGCTCATTTATTTTCAGCAGCGTCAAAAGTTGGTCAAATGGGATCCAAAAGATATTATCATATGTCATTATCTCGGCAAAATAGTTACTGCCTAAGCCACAGAAGAGAAGCTAATTCACATCGAAAGCCACTAGTTGCCTTGACAAGACATGCCTGCAGCAGTACGCCATACGCACGCGAAAGCATAGGCAAAATGTTATTTTTTTTAAATGTGATTGCTGCTAATTGCTAAATGTAGTGCTAGTGCGAGGAGAAATCTCGCACTAGCACTACAAGATCCATTACCTAGTATATATTTATGTATGGGGCGGCCAGTGACTGCTTGTGCAATAACAGCAGACAATATTTTCAGTCAAGAAACACGTCAGCAGACGCTGTGAGGAGGGAGGGAGGAGAGAGGGGGAGTGTAGGAGAGAAGAGAGAACATTGTGAGGAGGGAGGGGGAGTGTAGGAGAGAAGAAAGGGAGAGGGCACCCACACCCACAAGTGGAGTGTGGACGCCACCAGATCAAGCTCATAAGACGCTCCCAATCTAAAAGAAAAAATGGAGGGAGAGGAAATATTACAGCTTTTCTTTTAAGTATTGCATTTCTTCTTGTTTGTAACCTTCAACCATGTCATTTAACCACCTAACGAACTAGCCCAACAGTATTGTTAACAACCTGGCAGTCAATACCATATCCATTTCTAATGCAGCCACGCTGAGGTGATTGCCATATTAATATACAGAGTGGTCAGGCTCAGTGCAATGCAGTGCACATGCCATTACAATATGCCTCCTCTCCAGCTAGTCTGTCAATGTCACAGTGTGTAAATTTGCATTACAAAAAAAGTATTTGGGTGTTATACTAAGAGCAAGCCAAATAACTTTCCTTCAAAGACAAAACACTTCAGAAACAGTCTTTCTCTTTATTAAATGTATCAAATAAATGCAAACAAAACACACGCTGTGTTTAACAAAAATGCATTGTGGCATCTGCAAGACTGAAAAAGAAATGCACTGAAGAAGGGTCTGAAAGGTTGCAGAGAAAGCAATTCAAAACAAAAATAAAAATTACATGAACACCTTCACCACAACACTGATAAAATTTAAAACAAAAATAGAAGTGACATGAATATCTTCATGACACTGATAAAACAACTAACAAATTCGTTTACCAAGACTAGGACATTGACAGAAAATGTAACATGCTTCAACAGTTTTACATGTCAGCAAATGCTACAGAAAAAGCATAACAGTAAACATTCACCATGGTATCAATATGCTGCATATTAATATGCTGTCAGCTGCACATTGCAAGGCACGTTAAGTCTGTAAATAGAGCATCCAATATACTCCAATGATTATAAAAATCTTGAGGCCAAAGAAGTACAAGAATTGCAAAAACTCTTTGAAAGACTAGAAAACTGTGCAAAGGAACAAGCACAAAAAGTGCCGAGTTAGAGTACATGCAAATACATTTCACGATCGACATAAGTATGACATAAGTTGTCAACTGCTGCACTCAAAATAATCAATGAACAAAGTACATTGCATCGAAGTTAAGAGCTATCGATGTTGAATAATAGTATGAAATATGAGAAAAGGTATAAAGATCTGCAATGCCAAATGCAAGGGCAGGTCAAATGTGTCAGGAGAAGAAAATATAATGAGCAGCTCAGCTGCTGCAAATGAACACTGCAGGAAAATAGCTGCTGCAAATGAACACTACAGGAAAATAGCTGCTGCCAATGAACACTGCAGGAAAATAACTAAAAAACAAAGTGCATATTCATATTTCAGTCAATGCAACACTACACTTATAAATGACTGAATGAGTCACAGCCAAGGTCATCTGCACCCCGGAGATAAAAGAAAATCTAACTTTCCAGTGTCAAGAGAAAAGCTGCACTTGTAGTCTACATGGTGGAAAATTCGGGCTCAGCTGCACAGCATGCCATAACAGGAAAGAAAGATACAGCAACAGTAGAAGATTCAAATGGACTTATGTTTCAATTATATGGAATTGGCAAGTTTCTCTGCCCCATTGGCACAATTTTTTTTTTCATCGGGTGTAAGCATATTACCGAAACAATATTTCAGATGCTAAAATTGAGTTTTGCAATACAGTTATATTAGTGAAAACTGGCCCTGAATTGAAGAAGTCTCTGCCCACCTAGATTTTGCCAAGTCTCCTGTCCGAATTTTCAACAGCCATTTTTAAAGAACTACAGCAGATGAAAATTTTTCGCTACAAATAATTGTGTGGTCAAAATGAGATTCTTAAGGAAGCCATCGAACGTCAACAAAGCAGAGCCAGAGAGCACATCAAATGTGCAGCAGGTACAAGCTCAGTACTGCAGGTAAAATGTCCGCAAGCAGTTGCGCGGTCTGGCAGCAACTAACTATGCAACTGGCACTACATCACCAGTCATCACTGCCATTGCTTAGTGTTGCCCATCACACCATGTTCATCTTATCTTGTCCGGGTGGTGGGTACTGCTGTGGGTACTGTGGTGGGTACTGCTGCGGGTACTGTGGTGGGTACTGTGGTGGGTACTGCGGTGGAGCTGCAGGGTAACCTGGCTGTGCAACATAACCACTGGGGACCATTACAGCACCTGGGGTCATGCCCACTTGTCCTGGGTTCTGACTGATAAAGGCCAACTGCTTGTAGAATGACACCACGACCATGAGGAAGTAGATCTGCAGAGAACAAGTGACAATGTAGATACATATAGCTTTGCAGTAGAAATAATAGCCACACTCAACCATCAAGCATATAATCCTCTATCTACTATGCATCACTCACTACAACTTGACCAGAATAAAATCACTTAAAATGAATAGCTGAAAGCTTCGAATCTCCGTCGAAGCTTTCGAATATTCATTGAATATTGCATTCGTAATATTTGTATTAGATTCGATAGAGCATCAGCGTTAAATACAGTTTCTTCATGTTTGCTTGTGTGCGCTGTTTCAACGCCGTCTTTGATCTCCTCGCAATTTATCATGACAAATGATATGGGCCATATCGGTTGTCTGCTAAGATCAAGTGCACACTTTGTCATCGCATTGTATGTAACCAGCGCTGCCCAGGTGGCACACCTAAAATTTAAATGATGCGCCGCCCTGGCGAGCTGGCTGAGAAGCAGCTAGTAGTAGAGAGGCGCCGTGAAGTGTACTATGGGCACGTTAAAACGTGCTCTTGTACACCTTGCGCGCACTATAACTCATGGTGAATGCCATGCAACACTGCCACCGGTTTTGTTCGACGTGCGTTGTGTTGTAGGTACTTTGGAAAGCGCAAGACCAGCGAAGATTGGGACACTTCGCTAAGAACTGTGACGCAGTGGGCCAGCAGCGATGCCAGAGATTAGATGTGCTGTGCGCAGTCGGGTACCTTCGCGAGACTTGTCGAAAGGATAGAATCTGTCCGATGTGAAGTATATGCATGTATGACGGGGAAGAAGCAGTTTTTCACAGAGACAGCAACTACGAATTTACGGCGATATGCCATACATTGTACGACAAAAACTTTCAGATAAGTGTGTTCTAATTGAGCGAGCGAAGCTAAACACTTATGCAGTGTGCTCGTTATATGTCCGCTTTGAAATAAAATTAGTGTCTTAGACAGCACTGAGGTAGCATTTGGCCCAGCGACAGCCGTTTTTGGCAGCATGTCAAATTTATACAGTCTGTAGTCACAGCTCTTGCACAATAATACAGAAGCTGCTTCCCACACACTTTCCTTTATTGTGTGTTCAGCAGCCAGCCTTAACTCACAAAATGCTTGATCGCACTCTTAAAGAAAAGGTTTTGAAGCCGACGGTGAATCGCAAAATAAATGTACAAGGCAATCTGCAAAATGAAAGACCAGAAATTGTAAAGTGGAAATTTGTGGTGTTAGCAGAAATGCGAACATGTCGCAGCGGCCATGCTTTAACAAAGTCAACTCTCCGTTGCCTGCAGACCATTTGCAAGCTTGTATTCCGCTGTTGTCTAAGCCTGAGACTTTTTAAAGAATACCTTTGAAGAACCTGGTGGTAATAGATTTTAACGGTTCAGTGTTTGACATACAGTGTGTGATCAATGATCAGTAATGAAACATGCCTAGATCATCACGGTTTTTCTAGCAGTCATGGTTTTGTAGCTGGTCTGTAGCTGTGCTCATGACGGTCAGACGTAATCCCATATTTAGTCAACTGTGATGAGCTTTTTTTTTTTTTCAGATTTTTACTACTAAAGTCACTCCTCACAATCAAATGACAACTGTTTTTTTTAATTCCCTGGATATAATGAAATGTCATCCCTTTCATTACTGTAGAAGTCGTGGTGCAATCGCATAAATACCGTGTGTGTAATATACGACGTGATGATTGGTACAGAAGTTTTCATGTGCTTTCTTTAATGTTTTCAAGGCAAGGTTTAAATAAAAGACATGATATTTTCCAGACTACCAACCTATGTGCATTGGTGAAAAGCTATGCCAGAGCGAGTCAATTATGTTCTGGAATATTTTTTCCTGTCAAAAACCTTTTTGTGATTGTGGCATTTGAGAAAATAACAATGATGGTCAAGAAGGTTTTTTGTTTTCCTTGCTCGATCATTGCACACGGCGGCGTGGTTCACATTAGTAGCCACATTTATTTGTATTTGTTTTCATGACGACCGCCTCTGTTTGTACGCCCGAATGCTACCGGGCGCGCCAACAGGGTGGCGCTCCATGTCCCAGAAACGCGCGAGCTGGCTCCCCATAGAGTCACTTATGTTGCATTTTTCACTGTCGTAGCATTCCTTTTGTGCTGCTTCGGAGCTCATCTTGAACACTGAACTACCAACCAAGAGGCTAGAAAACAGCCGCGTGAGAAGCACGCAGGTAAAGCTGCTCGACGAAGACAAATGCAACGAGGCGAAGCCCGACTTGGAAAACAAGTACCAGGTAATGATGGCGATAGAGCTGTAGCCCATTTGAACAGGGCGGGCCAATAGCGAAATCACGCGGGCATTCTGATGATGATGACTGTGGCAGGTACAATGCTGGGCATCGTTTTCACAGCCGCGAGCAGCTTTTTAAAATCGCTATTCATTATTTTGAAGTTTTATGAAAATATATGAGAGATATAGTTCCACACGTTATTCTGAAACATTCAGTATTCTGATATTCGCAGTTGTGAAGTATTTTTACTATAAACCAATGAAAATTTGCAAGACAATTTTCGGAAGTGTCATGAATATGAAGAAAGTGTTACCGTATTTTTCGGTGTATAAGACCCTGTTTTTTTTTTCACATTTTTCCGAGGTGCGTCTTATACATACTTCTTTTTGTAGTTCATTTGGAAGAAACTCGCGTTGATACTGATTAGCCTTTTTATAAATGACTAGAGCAATAGGATGCGAATGATGCGTCATAATTATAAGAGCAAAGGCTCAACATGCCAATACTACAATTCCACAACAAAAACGAAAATACATAATGTCACCGTGCAAGTTATCAGCTCACGGAAGCTATGCAAGTTTCAGAGGCTATACTCGGTGCAATCGGCCTAAGATGATGATAGGTGCACAAATCTAACCCAATCCAAATTGGACTCGGCTTCGTCCGCTCTTGCATGCTGTTGTTCAGCGAGTCGGGCTGTCTGGCCAGTCACCACTTGCAATCTTACTCGTTCGGTTGGTCTGCGCCTTTCTTATTTTCACCTGCAGTATGCCGGCTACGCGGGAAAGTTACACGGCAAAGTTTATGCTCACCGCTATGAAGTATGCTGAGGAGTACAAGAACCGGGCTGCGAACTGTCATTTCCACGTCACCGAAAAAATTATCCGTTCATGGAGACAGTCTACTGGCAAGCTTCAGGCTATGAATAGCAACAAGAAAGCTGACCACGGCAAGAAGGCACGATGGCCAGACCTTGAGGGACGTCTGCACACAAATACTGGAGCAGTGTGCCCAAGGTAGGGTGATGTCGACAGTGCAGCTGCGTCTCAAAGCGCAGGTGCTAGCGAAGGAAGTGTGCGCCGTTAACTTCATTGGCGGGCAGTCCTGGTGCTCAAGATTTATGCACCACAAAACGCTGGCGATGAGGGCCCGCACAAGCATGTGCCAAAATCTGCCAGCAGATTTAAGGACAAAGGCTCTCATAAAGAAAGCCATTAAAGATGATGGCAAAAATGACAGCCCTATAATAAATGTGGACGAAGTGCCACTGACGTTTGACATCCCAATGTAGAGGAGTGCGGCACCACAAGGTGACTAGGCCATCAGCATCAAGACTACCGGCCATGAAAAAGTGCACTTCACGGTTGTGCTTGCGTGTTGCGCCAACGGACAAAACTTCCCCCAATGGTAATAGTTAAGCGGAAGATGATGCCAAAAGAGGCCTCCCGTCTGGCTTTAACATAGAGCCGAGCGTGAAAGACTAGATGGACAAAGAAATGATGGGCAAGTGCTCGAGAAATACTTTTTCTAAGTGACTGGATGGTTTCTTTCATGCAAAGAAGGAACTCCTGGTCTTGGATAGTATGTTGGCCCATATAACGGAGCTGACGTTAAAACTCATCAAGGCAAACAACAGCTCCACTGCCGTTATCCTAGGTGGGATGACGAAAATGCTTTAGCTGCTAGACATTTTAGTGAACCGCAGTTTCAAGGCTATTCTGCGGCACCTGTGGGAGTCGTGGATGTCCGACGGCAAGCACAGCTACACTGCGACCAGACGCATGAGGCGTGCTTCATTTTGCGAAGTCGTGAAGTGGGTGCAGGCCTGGTGCGCAATGTCACAGGACACAGTAATTGCGGGGTTCCGCAAGGCAGGACTGCTAGCATCCTCAGCCCCTGACCTTGATGATGACGGCAGCAGCAGCGATTCCGAAGACGAAGCAGAGGAGGTCCCAGTGTTGCTGCCCCCAGAGCTTGCCGAGCTATACAAAGTGCGCCGTAAGCGAGGACTTGGGGAGCTTTGAAGAATAAAGCGTTTTTCCTGCAGTCATGCGGGACCTTTCAGTGGGTGTGCATTATTTTTTCTCTAGTTTGGCATTGTTTAAGTTTTCTTACGGACTAGCGCTCAAAAAAGCAAGCACGGCACTTTACAATGCTCGCTCGACCGCACGTTATGAAGTTTCTTTGCGGAAAGCAAGGAATTTCAGGTGCCTGATATATCAAGTTTTGCGTGGAAACTTGCGAAAAGTGGGGGTGCGTCTTATATAAAGATGCATCGTATACACTGGAAAATACGGTAATCTGAAGTTCGTTATAACGAGATTTCACTGCATCGCTCGTAGAAATGACGACAACTTGCTGTCACCACATTGACCTGACAAAATGTAACTTATGTCACCTTCGCATGGTCATGTGCAAAGCGAGCATCAAGAAAAAATGTCACTGCGCAAGGGTGCAAGGGCAGTGCTAACAGAGTGAGTTTAAGTCGACACATTGCATGCAACTTGCTAGAGACACTCAGCGTCACAATGAGGCAGTTAACGCAAATCATGTGTAGCTGCACTGGTTTTCAATAATGAATCACCGCCAAAATGCCTGCACATGTTTCAACGAAAGCCTGAAAGCCCATCAGCTTGTGCCGCTGTCAGCAATGTCAGCATGTATTCCTTGTCATAGTTTGATAGCAACGCTTGGTCTTGCGAATAAGCTGAAGTGTTTTTTTTTACGCAATGACACACAAAGAAAAGAGCACGCACTTTCGTCAATGTTACAAAGGCGTTAGCATTGTTGCTAACAACGATGCACGTAAGCTGAAGGAAGTTTGAGGCAGTTAATGCATAGTTATGCTGCGTTCCCAACATCTCCTTTGGGAATATGTCAACTGGGCACCACACTCGAATATTCAAGTTACATTGCATATTATAAACTTCTTTTTCGATATGTCATCGAATTGAATACAATTAGTAGGAATGCAAATTTAAAATTTCTGAATATTTACATACGCCTAGCCAAAATGAAACAGCATGTCAAACGCTTAAAATAATCGAGTGGCTTCTTCCCCCGCCTTCAAACGCCAGCTATAGTTTTTGGCATGCTTGTCTACAGTGCTTCAGTACTTGTATCTCAGTATGGCATTGCACCAATTTTTCCACTTGCCAATTGCAAGGCTTCAAGAATATTCTGCAATGACCAATAAAGGCACTGCCAAGTGAAATAAAGATAATAAAGGGAAGAGGACACGCAGCAAAACGCTCAGGGGACTCCAATAAGTCATCTGTGCAATTGCAAAGAGGTTCTGCAGTGCCTTTGACAGTCAATGCACAAATTGAAATCTCTCCGACATGCGTGCTGAAAACGTGTGTGGTGCAGTGCTATAGGAGAGGCTGAATGTTCTCAGATGCAAGCTATCTTTAACCAGGATTTATTAACAAATTAAATCCACATAGCATGGTGCTTTAAGCACACTTGACAGGTGCATTGATGAATGTACAAGTCATGCCTCAAGGAGTACTTAGGCCTCGGGCAACTATGCTTTTCGCAACAAAGGACACAATCAGAGTTTTCTGGACACGCTACTTAATTACATCTGACAGCTATGCATGTGTAGCAAATGCAATGGGAGAATAACCACAGGGTGGACACCTATGTGAGAGTAGTAAACCAGTGATACCTGCAAGGCGAGTCCCAGCATGAGAGAGCAGAGAAGCAAAAGAAGCTGAAGAATACCCTGAAAAAGACATGGACAAAATGATACGGCGACAGCACTAACATCAAATTAAATCTTAGGACTTAATTCACGATATTATGGATTATCAGAAACACCAGAGTTGGGTGGCTTGAAATTAATTTCAAGCACCTGGAGTTTTTAATTATGCATCAATATAAGCACACACTTTTTGTACTTTACCAAAAGTAATGCAACTGCAGTGGCCGACTTAACCCAAGCTTTCAAACTTTGCAACACGACACCATAACTGCTACCCTATCATGGCCAGTATGGCAATCAACCTTCTGTGACAACACAGCTAGAACACTTTTTTTTTTCTCACTACGCTTCTGCATACAGTTCATAACTATAAGCGATGGTAGGCTACACAATATAAAACACTTTAGCAGAGATGTAACAGCAAAAATAGAATTTGGAGCAGTTATTGGAACAAAGAAAAATGTTGCTTTTGGAGCACAAACTATAATTTAGAGCAGAATAACACAAATATTTAGCACGAAATTCAAATTTGGAGCTATATAACGATAATGAGGAGGCTTACTTTTAGAAAAGAAAAAAATATGTACCTAGCAATCAAACTAGCACTTAATTATACACAGCGCACATAACTGCCATTCCAATAAAAAGCAGCATTTTGAATTACCCCACATGACAAAAAATTAAATCCACCTTAGCATTAGCAGCGCGTTTCCAATATTTGGCAGAGTGAAAATTCAAATGTGAATCTTCAGGCTGGCGACCTTGATATTAGGAGATTTATTTATTTATTTATTTATTATTAGAATACCCTCAGGTCCCGTAGGGCATTACAGAGGGGTTGGGTACAAAATATATAACAACACAGAAAAAAAGACAAAATAAAGAACAAGTGTCCGATGCGCAAATCAGGAAGCACATAAGTCAACTAAAAATGTATAAGAAGTCAAGCAATACAAGACAAAGATAGATAATGGGAACTGCGTATAGTTACAAGCATTGCTGAGAAATTGCCAGTCTTGAATAACAAAGGTCTGTATTGATACAACGGAAGAGGGTAAGGTGGTTCCAATCGGCGGCTGTTTTCGGTAAGAAGGCGCTGAAAAGAATTTGGTGCGGCCAAAACGGAATGGAACCTTATGCTGATGATCAATGCGCGATGAGTGGTATGACCGGTTGTGAAATGAGGTCTCGCTTCATTGATGGATTGTGAAAAATATCTTATGAAAAAAATGCTGTCGCGCCAGTTTCCTCCGAACAGTTAAATTGGGTAGGTCAAGGTTGGATTTCATTTCTGATATGCTAGCAGTACGGGAATAATTAGAACAAATGAACCGAACTGAGCGGTTCTGAACAGATTCTAACGCGTTAATTAAATTTGCTGCACGGGATCCCATATAGCGGACGCGTACTCAAGCTTGGGCGAATTAGTGATCGGTATAATAGAATTTTGAGGGACAGCGGAGCGCGAGAAAAGTTGCGGCGTAAGTATCCTAGCGTTCGGTTAGCGTTGTTACAGATGTAGGTAACATGCGTGTGCCAAGATAGATTGTTGGTAATGTAAACGCCCAGGTACTTATATGAAGAGACATGCTGGAGGGGAACGGCGTTAATTCTGTAGGTACAGGGGGGAGAAATAGATCGCCGGGTTATTGACATGCATTTAGATTTGTTAGAGTTGAGAGTCATAAGCCATTTATTGCACCAGGTTGAGACAGTGTCAAGGTCTGACTGTAGAAATTGGTTATCATATTCATTGTTTATTTCGCGGTAAATTACACAATCATCTGCAAATAACCTTATAGCGGAGTTAATGCTGTCTGGGAGATCATTAATATATATAAGAAAAGTAAAGGGCCTAATACGGAACCTTGGGGTACGCCGGATGTTACTTTAGAAAGAGGTGAGTTATAGCCATTAGTTGTTACAAACTGAGTGCGATTAGTCAGAAAGCATTCAATCCATTTAAGAATGTTTGGGTCAATGTTTAAGGCACTAATTTTCAGGAGGAGTAATTGGTGAGGTACTTTATCGAAAGCTTTTTGAAAGTCAAGAAAAATGCAATGCACAAGTGAGCCGCGATCTAAAGCCGATGCTATGTCATTAGTAAATAAAGAAGTTGGGTTTCACATGAGTAACTTTTTCCGAATCCGTGCTGGTAGGGAGTAAAAAAAGAATTTGATTCTAGGAATGAGACAAGGTTGGAGTAAATTATATGTTCTAACATTTTACAAGGAACACTGGTTAGGGAAATTGGTCTGTAATTGAGAGGAGACTGTGTGTTACCAGATTTGTGCAGAGGGACCACCTTCCCCACTTTCCAGTCAAGCGGCAAAGTGGAGGTCTGAATAGATTGCGAAAAGATTAAGGATTTGTAAAGCAAGAATAACTGGAGTGGCCGAAACAAAACTATCACGAGGTTTTTTTTTTTTTCACGTTTTTCAGGGCTGCAGAAATGTCATACGCAGCTGCAAATTATTGCCGGTATTTTTTTTTTATACAAGTCAGCTATTATACTAGAACTCGCAACTATGCGGTGCATACAAGCATCAGTAATTAGGAAAAGAAATGCCCCATGCCACATGATAACTAGTACTGACAGCCCTTTTTTACTTGGTTTAGATTGACCAACAGCACTCCAAGACCGGTAATGCCACAAGTTTAACTGTCGTAAGTTCATTATTAGCAGAGAAAATCAAAATTGAGGTTTGATTTTTGAATTCTGAGTAGAAATTTCCGCGTGTGATGTAGTGAATTTCAAAATGCATTTTTCGTATTTTACAACATTGACCCATTGAAATTCTCTGAAACCTCATATGCCAGGTCTAGGGCAACCACAGAAGACAATGTGCTTCATTTTATCGAGTAATGCTGTATAGGACCCGGCAGATGCATTCAAAATTTACTACGTCACGATGTTTGGTGCGGGAATCTGTTTGGAGTCTCCACTCATTTTTTTTCTACGGCTTTCACACTTACCAAGCCTTGTGTCGCGTTAAGAGTAGTGTTTTCACGATTGCGAAATTGTAGTTTACTAATACGTGGAAAATCGTTTTGCTTTTTAAATAAAGTCCATGCTCATTTTAACGAACCTACGCACAACAGCCTTTCGGATAGAACGGACCATTATTCAGCTTAAGTTTGGTCTGCGTATTAAGTTGTTGGGGAGAAGTTTGCTTTTAATGGACCGCAATACAACCGGACTATTGACTATACTGGACAAGATTAACGGCTCTTTTGATGAAATCGGGCACATATAGCGTACTTTGCCGTGTTGACGCAGGCTAACAATGGACTTGACCACACCGCTCTCACAAACGATAAAGCCACTGTAATAATAAAATGTAGCTGGCAACGTTAGTGGCTTTCTGCCAACCCAAACCTCCAGCCAAGCCAGTATCATAGCACATCGGCGATGTTACTCCGTTGGTCACACAAATGGTTCAAAGTTGCAGCTGACTGAAATGCAGCACAACGTTCAAGTGTGCTCGCCAATCTCTTAAAATGAATTCCTGTTTAAGCTAAGTGTAAATAAAATGCATTTTTTTGTGTGTTAGATGTTCCATCACTCATTGTAGTAATGTTGTTAGGCATTGCAACCAAAGTTTTGAAAGCAAGAGGTTCTGGTGCTCTAAGCAGGCGAGCTTCGCTGCCAGATTAGAATATTAATGCAACAGGAACCTTGATACACTGTCCCTGCAGATACTGTAACCACACTAATTAATTAGAACTCACACTTCAATTTTGTTAATAATGATCGATTGATTTGTGGGGTTTAACGTCCCAAAACCACCATTTGATTATGAGAGACGCCGTAGCGGAGGGCTCCGGAAATTTTGACCACCTGGGGTTCTTTAACGTGCACCCAAATCTGAGTACACGGGCCTACAACATATCGCCTCCATCGGAAATGCAGCCGCCGCAGCCGGGAATCGAACCCGCGACCTGCGGGTCAGCAGCCGAGTACCTTAGCCACTAGACCACCGCGGCGGGGCAATTTTGTTGATAACCACTTCTGGTGATCGCAATCTTTCCTGTGGATTACATGCACAATGCGTCAGCAGAACTAGCCTACCCCATACTGCTGAGCATTAGTGCGATGATCACCGCAAGAAGACGCTAACTCCTCCCCCTCACACCGTAGTTTAGATATTAAACTTCAGATAATACTGACTTGTTTTGCCAGATTCATTGTAATGAGAGCAAACTGTAGCACGCTTTTCCACGAGCCATTCGTGTACTGTGCCAAAGGTGGCTTAAGAAGCCTTCTGCATGCAATAAAACAAGGCCAAGAATTTTCGCAACGCTGTGCTGCGGATCGGTATTTGAGGCTCCTGAGAACATATGAGTCAAATATAGCGCAGCATGCGACCTGGAATTTAAAATAAAATGTCAAAGTCAGCTCAAGATCACTTTCTCTTCTCTTGATGAATGACGCTACAGGCCCAACACCCCTGCATCCCAAACCAACAATCAGCCATTAGCTGAACTCAGCATGGCAAGCTCTGTCAATACTGGAGCCACCGTAGGAAGCCGCGACTTGTCCATGAGTGTGTGCGCATGTGCAGTGAAAAACCACGCATTCGAAAAAAAAAAATGAATGCTCGTGTTGACGAGGCACACGTGACATATTTTCTTTCCCAGTGCCATCCTTCCCTGCTTAGCTTCCAACGCTTTTGTCAGGACGAAAGAAGAGAATGAACCATGCAACAAATCCTTACATTTATAAACTCCGCTCTTATTGTATGACTTTTAAAAATTTTTCTGGCAGTGGATTCATAAGGCAATAAGCCCCTTAGTAAATTATTCCATGGCTACTCGGAAAAGTGTTGCAGGGCACCTTCAAGCCATTAAAATACCTCTGTGAGAGCTTTACTTATTGCACCACACCAAGGAATGTTTATTGTACCTTTGATGACGTACTTCCCACCGTAGAAAAATATTCCACCTGGCCGGAGCTATAGTCAAACACCGCTACAACAAAACTGATGGGGTGCAGAAAGTATTTCATTGTAATGAATTTGAAAAAAATATAGCTGATCTGCGCTAGCAAAACAAAGAAACGTTTATTCTCAAAATTCGAAAAGTGTCTGCTGCTTCTTATTCTTTCCCAGCAGCATCACGACATGATTCTCACCCATGCATAGCGAGGCCATGGGGAAAAACACGCTAAACCAACGCCTACGACTGCTTTCGTGAACGAACAAAAGTTGCATTTACGTTAACACCAGCAGCTTTCTGCCGTCAAAGTGTATCCAACAATGCAGAGATGGAAGCAGAGTATCGTGGAGCGGGTCACTTCTGCCTTATTCTATGCCATTCTTATCCATCACTCGTAGCAAGCCGATTTTTTTTCTTATAATGCGAACGAACAGCCACTCTGATTAGTTACCACACAGGCCAAGTGCGAATAAAACGATAAGCATTGGCATTGGAAAAGGCATCGTTCCGTGGTTTCACCCAGCAGCTGCGTAAAGGAAGCCAAGAACGGAGTGACAGCTTCAGCTTCAAATCGTCTGTGGCTCAAAAGCAAGCCAGTGGCAGAAGCAGGGCAGTCTCACTGCCATCACTATTTAGCAATGGCGGCGCCCATGCTTGCTGAACAGCGGTGGTTTCTGGTGGTTCCAACACGTGTTTTAGACTTTTTCTATACATTTTCAGGTTCTGAAAGTGCAGCAAAATGTTAAATATTGTGTTTACTGTATATCAAGAAATATCCCAGTCTGGAATCGCATCGTGAAATTTCATTGAAGTGGGACGGCAGAAGAAAAAGTGTTCGTTGTGGAAACAATATTGATGCATTGACTCTGGTGGAATGCTGATGGGGAATCGTGAATTTCTCGTAGCGGAAATTTCGTTGAAGCTGCGTTCGTTGTAGTGGGGTTCAACTGTTTTTCAAATAGCAATTTCCACATAAAAACACAAGGGTAAATTAATATGTATGTTGAGTCTCATTACATAATAGAAGCATAGAGCATGAAAAATGCCTTCGTTTATTTGCGTTGCACATACAGCAAAACCTTAGTGATACGAATCTCACGGGACCACGAATAATATGCGTATCATCCAAAATTATCACCAGAAAGAGAAAATTAGCATGTGACAAAAAAAACCTGACGTGCATTTTCATTTATTTTTCAGGGCCGTAGCAACATTAGAGAGAACAGACTATCGGTTAAGTTTTTATATGTCTGCTATCATACCAGCACTATAATATATACGGCCTGTATGCACATATTTAATGAACCAAGTGCATTGCGACTTGAGGTAGCAATAGCCCCTGTAAATTTTAGAATGTTTTTTTGCATGAAACCGGAGTGCCACGGCAAGAGTAACAGAAGAAGTGTTTTGACGCGAAAGACCGAGGTCACAAAGCTTCAGAGCCATGTTACAATTTCGTCAATGCGAAGGTGTCGTGAATGATTTTGGGGAATTTACTGCCATGCCCACAAAAGTGCGACCTCAACAGTAGCGCATGTTGACGTTGTGGGGCCTCACTTTTTCGCCAAGACCATCCTTGCATTCTTTCGTTTTTAGTCCACTTTTATAGTATGTGCAGACATGTGTAAACACAGTGCCATGACGGCAGCCCGCATCGACACATTAGAAAAAAAATATAATGCTACTAACATCAATCTGTAATCTAAACGTGAAGACACACCAAGGCACATTAGAGCCTCAAAGATCCAAGCACGCAATTTCAGACGATGTACTGAGTCTCTAAAAGTGGATTCAGACCAAAAGAAAAGTTTTTTTTCCCCACGCGATTCTGATTTCGCGGTGCAGTGTGCATGCTCGCACTTGCGTTCCCGCACTTCAAGGCGCTAGGAGAGTCTTCCACGATAGTGCAGACAGCACCTCTTCGTACTTGGATGGTAGTTATAAAATGTGATAGAGGGAAGAATAAATAATTGCAGAAGAGACAAATGACATAATATTCTCTAATATAAGAATGTATACTCACACTGGCAATAATAGCAACTAGGACAATGATGACAACCACACCCTGGACAACAGCCAAAAGTCCTTCAAACACCAAGTATGGAAGCAGCAAGTGTCGTTGGTCCTGCACAGATAAATACATTGGAACCTCCACTACACGTGCCCTATTTATGAGACAACCCATATTTTACGTGCCCTATTTATGAGACAACCCATATTTTGACGAATTCGTTTGGTCCCAACAAAGTCCCCATCGATATTATGTACTAAGGGCTTCAATTATATGATGAAATTCTGTACCAACCATGTCTCCTACAATGCCTCTTGGTACCACTAACAAAAAGAAAAAGTATTACATTTACTCAATCTAATGCAAAAACACTTAGTAGTTTCAAAGTAGTATTCACTGGAACACAATACCAGTTTATGAGTATCATGCCCATATGTCAACAATTAAGAAAAAAGGCAGACAGACAAGGCCAATTAGCCCTCATACAACTAGAAATTCTCCTGGCAGTTTTCTTCAGCAATTGTTTTTTTTTATTTTGAAATCACTAATAGATATACTTCCCTTACATGTGTACGCATACTCAAGGCTGCTGCCAAGATGTGGCAAGTCACGTCGCACAATTTTCGTTAAGAGGCTAATTATTTCTGACAGGGATTGTTATTTACCATTCCATGAAGATAACCTGAAACGAGTACAAGACAACCAAACTCACAGTGTAGGCTCCCCTAATGCAAAGGGCGGCGGCCGCAAGACCAATGGCACTGATAACTGCATAGGCTACAAACAGTCCATAGCTCGCTGAAAAGAAAGCAATGCACGATCACAATTTAGGAATGCCAGACACTTCACATGCGACTTATGCATGACATTTCATACAGAATTCAAGCGAACACATTGCCAATAAGAAAGCAATCACACCTATATTAAACGCTGCTAGAATCAAATGCACTTGACACTGGTAAGCAACTGCTGCTGCCAGTAAAGGAGGCAGCCATATATAGCACACAATGACTTATGAAGACTGATAATATCTGACGAGAACTACAATGAAACATGCCTACTTGTCGCAACAACCAGCAATCGCCTAACTAGAATGATTTAGAGAGGTTCTTGTGTCACACAGTCTTATTCTAAATGAAGGAAAACAGCTCAGAATGCGTATACAAAATGTGGCTGGGAACACACCTTTGGTATGAAATCAAATAAAACCAAGTCATTCATTACAGAAAGTCTTGAATGCCTTAGTTAAGCACAGTATTATGAGAAAACCATTGATGCCTTTGCTTCTCTGTCTCACACTAAGTATTTAAAATGCCCATTGTCCAAATATGAGACTGACGAATTGCAAAATTCATCATGTCCTCTCCAATGCAGAGGCTGAACAACAGTTTGTCAACAAACGAATCCAGCTGAGCGGTATCCCACTTGCAATGCACCTTGCTTTTTCTGCTCAAGCGCTTGGCCAAAAGAGAAGCTGGAAAGTGTCAACACTGGCTTAGCATTGGAGATGTGATCACAAATAAAATCATCAATGACATTTGTTCACTGCTTCAGCTTACAGAGTCCGTTATAAAAGTAATGCACATGATTTTATTGTGACGTGACTATTCATGGCAGCGTGGTAAAATAGCTCGGGCTATGAGGTGGGGGCTCTGCACTGCGAACGCAGATGGTTGGCAGTTTACTGCGAGCTGTGCGAGGGGTAAGATGTGCCTTCATGTGAACGGCTGTTCGCTACTTTGTAACAAGGCACTATACAGCATTTACTTCAACAACAACATGCTATCAAGTTTGCTTGAAGCTTGGAGGAAATGTTCCCTATAACATTGTAGATGCTTCAGAGTAGGCTTGTGCGAATAGTGAATTTTAGGCTCGAAGCGAATAGTGGCTTTGATCGAATAATTCTGAATTGAATTCGAATGATATGTATGACATAAAGGGAATATTTATCATGACCCAACTAACCTGCCCAATATTTCTTTTAAATTGAAATGGGTGCTCTATGCATATGCCATTTATTTTTTCTTTCAAAGAAAGTCTAAACAACCTTGAGTAGTAGCTTCAGTAGGATGCGAGAGATAACCTTTAAGATACTTAATGTCTTAAAATTTATTGTACTTGGTGCATATAACACATAATAACAAGCTTGATAAAATGAAGAATTGATTTGAGGGTAAATGTTCCTTTAAAGGGGCCCTTCAACACTATTTCAAGTAGCCATGGAGCCAGTAAACATGCTTGTTGCTCACAAATTTACTGCCGCAAAGTTTCTAGAACCAGTTCAGTATGAGCGGAGTTCCACTCACACGCTGCAATTTCATCTTCTTTCTTGTCCCGACAAAAATAGCTGGTAGTTAAGCAGGTTGGAATGGCATAGTGAAAGAAATACAGTCACATGCACCTCGTGACCTTGAGCCCCCTTTTCTTTTTTCTTCAAATACGTGGATTTTTCCAGTGCGAATAGCGCGCATACTCATGGACAAGCGGCGGCCTCTTGCGGCGGCCCTGGTAACGACGATCACGCCATGCTCAAATCAGCCAGTGACTGTGACCAGAGCCATATATTCCTTCTTGGCCGTGACAAGTGATTTTTGAGCTTGTAGTGTCATTTGCCGAGGAAAGAAAGCAGTTTTTAGCTTTGGAAATTTATTGTGAATAACAGGTCACGTGTTGCACTATAATATTTGCCTCGCGTATTCTCGGTAGCCTCGACTACAGATCAGCAGCGTTTTCTGACCATTTTCAGTAAGTGTTGCAGGGCCCCTTTAAACTTGAAGGAGGGCTTCGCAGCAAAGCAAATTTTCCTTTGATAGGTGATTTCACGGCTTAGCTCTCTTACACTTTAGTGAAACCACCTATACAGGCAATAACATGCAGAATAATATATACAATTATTCGATCATTGCGAATACTTCGACGATAATTTAAATTCGAATCGAAGTGAATTCGAATACTGAACTATTTGTTCGAATATTCGAAGCATTCGAATATTCGCACAAGCCTATTCAAGAGGTCTTTAGAGATCACTACATTTTAAAGGGCCAGTCAACAGGCTCCGAAACGCGCATGAAAAGCTCGCGCATTTTCCCTGCGCGTGACCAACCTCCTTATATGTACAGTGACGTCAACTCTGTGATCAGTCACGTTGACTTAATTTCTCTTTGCCGAGATCTGTTTTAGACTAATTGACGAGCTGCGTACTATGTCAAGTCGCTGATCGCCGAGCTGACGTCACTGGGCATATAGGAGGTTGGTCATGTGCAGGAAAAATGCGCGAGTTTTTCCTCCATGTTTCGGATCCTGTTGACTTTTAAGATCACAGTTCAAATGGCACAAGGCATTCAAGGAGGGCCAAGAGGAAGTCGCCATCGAACCCTGTTCTGGACGCTCAACGACGACCAGAACAATGAAAATGTGGATCATGTGCCTCAAATTTGGCGCTTCGACCATCACTTGAGCACCCAGAAAAGTGAGCTTGTACCTCAAGGAGAAACTCAATGCTGCCTTTTACTAGAGCTGCTCAAGAGATTGAAATGACGGGTAGTGTGCGTGAGGGCTGACATCAAGGACACAACCTCCTAAATGACAAAGCCCCAAGCCACATATCTTTCAGTAATACGAAGTTTCTGACCTAGAGCAAAACCTCGGTGGTGCCCCATTCTCCTTACAGTCCTTACTTGGCTTTGTGCATAGTTTATTTTCCACCCACTAAAGAGAAAGCTGGAAGAAAAGCATCGGGAGATCATAAAATACATCAACAAACATGTCACAACATTCTTGAGAGGCATTCCCATTGAGAACTTTCAGGCTACTTTCCAGGCGCGGTGGACACGTATCCGTAAGCCTATTGATGCAAGAGGAGAGTATCTTGAATTTCAGCCATTTGCACAGGTCCCACCAATAAAACTATTTCCCCTATAAAATGTGCATTACTTTTTTAACAGACCCTACATAATCAAGAACACAGATGTGCACATGTCAGTATATGGACAGAGAAATCCCCCACTTATGCCAATTTGGTTGGAAAACATGTGCACCCATTACTTTTATAAAAATGATAATCCTTGAACAGATCAAGTACAAAAAAAAAGCACAGCCAGACTGTGAAGTCCAAATTTTATAAGGAATACTGTTGGGAATCATCATGGCGATTTCGGTGGCATGTCAGTACCAGGAGAGCACGCTGGTGTCTTTGGCAAGTGAAATGTTCTACTTTCTAACTATATTGTCCGATTTCGACTTGAAGTGCAATGTTCTTCAATCTACTATCCTGTTCCAATCAAATATAATATAATAATGAAAGTAATACTTACAGCTAGGTCTGCTGGTCTGAACAACAAGTTCAAACAAAGGTAGCTTCAATTTGCTTGACATTACGGACAAAACATACCATTTATGAATAAGATTCTTTAATAAATATAATGCTATCTATTAAACTGATGTCATGGCATGTAGACAAAGAAAAAGAAATAATGCTAAAATGCCCATATCACCACACATCAATTCTAAAATTTGAGAAGTCAAACTCTCATATTGATACTCACATTTCACGGTGTCATACACCTCTGGAGATTGTCTGTAGACATCCAAGACTTGGTCAAAGTTTGCACAGACTGCCGAGTAGAACACCACACCAAGTATAAAACCAATCTACAAAAGCAGAAAAATGACCTCAGCCATTAAAAGAGCCACATCAGACAAAATTTTCAAGCTTAAACTATGCATGGTATGTTAACTAGCCTGAGAGAGTTGGCAAAATATGAGTGTATGCGGTGCAGTACGAAATTTGAAATTTTCGGTGTTACAGTAGAACTGTATGGCATGGCAACACCGAGCAGTGATATTCATATCCCTGAAAGCAGCTCCTCAAGCCAACAGAGGCTAATATCAATGACCGTGCCTTATATACACTATAAATATTATAGCAGTTTCGTACTATTGGTGCCAAGCCTGACAGAAGAGCACAGTTATGCTGTACTATAATGCAGTAGTGCATCACTTTCGCAGCAGAACGTATTAGATAACAGTGGTCACTTTTGCGATGACACCACCAGAATGGCACCACGATCGATTCATCCATAAAATTTTTACTTTCAGTACGATACTTTCTGCAGTGCTTGAGTGAAATAATTGCATGACAGGATTAAACGTTCAAGACCTAAACATTTCAGCATATCTGGATACATTATTGGAAAAGATAAAGCCCGAGTCTTCTGAGCTTGCACAATCCCACAGCGGTCCGTATTGTCCGTTTCGACTACGGAAGGCATAAAAAAGCACATTACTATTCATTCCATATTCACGCCTGCTAGATAGCACACTAACTTGGAGTTATGCGACGAAATAAGTGAGGAAGTCCAGAAGGATACAGTTATCAGGCAAGTTTTACCTGCATGAGCCAGGAGAGTTGTTGTTGTTATGTGACATTAGGCTGCTTATAGATGTACTTTAGGACTTCTTTTCTGCAAGCCTGGGACTGTGCCGTACCCGACCGACCCTCGGGATTGCAAGATTGCAAGAGTAGTTGCAAGATTTTCAATAATGCAAAGAACGCTCAATGATGTAGGCTGCTCTACTTTTTGACATCTTCCTCCTCTAAGAGGTGCCGAAGCGCAGGAATGTAGCTAAGTGCACCGATTGATTGATTTGTGGGGTTTAACGTCCCAAAACCACCGTATGATTATGAGAGACGCCGTAGTGGAGGGCTCCGGAAATTTCGACCACCTGGGGTTCTTTAACGTGGGCCCAAATCTGAGCACACGGGCCTACAACATTTCCGCCTCCATCGGAAATGCAGCCGCCACAGCTGGGATTTGAACCCGCGACCTGCGGGTCAGCAGCCGAAGCTAAATGCACCGAGACAAATTAAGGGCGTTGAATTTATCCACTGAGATGAAGTACTTGATTCCAATCAGCCTATAAAAAAATGGAATGCATCAGGGTTCTTCATGGAATGCATCAGGGTTCTTCAAACACTGAGTTTGCCATATGTACATGAAAAAGTTCACTAACGCACAATGAGAAACAAAGGGAACAACCAATGAGTTTCCTAGGTACACACAAAACCAGCACAGCAACTACAACTACCAATCACTGAGGCTTTGTGTCTCACCTTACCATGAATGAATTGCTTCAGTGGAGAGTGCTCGCTTGCTACAGATCTTACCATGAATATTCCATTATACGGCGTAGCACATGCGATCATATAGAGGAGTTCTCTATATTCTGACTGAGCGGCAATTTGTAGTTTTTAAACACAGCGCGCGGGCAACAAGTAGCAAAAATAGTACGGCTTGCTGGCTTCGTCAACTGTCATTGCAAAAAGATCCACATTTTCAGAGTCAGGGATGACACACTACCCGTTTCAAGTACACTGTAGTGCAGCTAGGTGGCCTTTTTTGTTTCTCCTGTATTTTTTCTCTGTCCATTTTGCAGCTTTTTTTTCCCCCCATCTCTTTTCTCTGTGTTTCTCTAACTTTCTCTCTGCTTCCTTTGAATTTTTTGCCTTGCTCTCAGTTTTTTTTTCCGTCTCTGTCAATGTATTTCTATTCTTTTTCAATTCCTTCATTTCTCTCTACTTTCCTTATCTTGCTTTATCTCTCTCTCTCTTCCTATCCCTCTTCGTTTTCTTTTATGTGGGACATTCTTCAACTCGCCGAACAAAGTTTCTGTTTCGTGCTCGCATCTGCTGTACTTGGTAGCAGGGTTCAATTCCTGTGGCACATACCCACATGTAGAGCATCTGCTGTACTTGGTAGCAGGGTTCAATTCCTGTGGCACATACCCACATGTAGAGCTTTTTTTTTTGCAACACCGCATAAACTACAATGAGCTACGACAGGTTTTTTGTTCAGTAGGAAGCTGTAGCAAAAGCTTCTCATATGTCATGGCTATCATTCATGATTTCATTTTTCAGGTGCATCTTGGCATTTCCATGGAAATGTTTCCTGCCTCAGTGAAGGAACTGCACAGACAACTCAATAACAATGGTTTTGCTGTGTTGTTAAAGGGAACCTGCGACCCAATTTGAGCACGTCTTTTTCATTGGTTCTCCTGGTGCTGTGCAATGCACTGATATTACACAAGTGGCATTCGCAGATATTGTTGCACAGGTGGCCACCCCGATATCGAAGCTGTTACAATTTCGAATCCCCGGAATAAACTACCTTAATTACAGACTACAGCGAGGCACATAAGCCATTTTCGAAATGACAAGCGACGAAAAAGGCCGTTCATTTTTTATTGGTTTTGCGCGACAAGTAGCATGCAATATTCATATTGTCACATAGTTTATTTATGTACAGACCTACTGGAAGGCCGAGGAACACCAGAAGAGCGAGGAACGTCAACAGGCCGAAAAATACAGAACAAGCGCAAGCTCGGGTCGCGCGTGTCCACTAACGCTGTGGCTTGCCGTTTCTTGCTGCTTCGTCGTCGTTCGCATAGTTCCCTACATTGGCCCTTGGTGAATAGCGTAGCCAACCTGGCGACTTAAGGCGTAGTCACTATGGCAGGGTCGTAATAGGGCTTCAGGCGACGCACATGCACAATTTCATGGCCACGACGGTGTAAGTCATGAGACTATGTCAAAGGCTCAATCTAACAATTGACTGGTGACGTACGGGCGAGAATGCGGTAGGGCCCGTTGTATCGTGCCAGTAATTTCGACGAAAGGCCAGGAGTGCTCGGTGGAATCCAGAGCCAAACGAGAGCACCAGTCGTGAAAGTAGAGAGATGTCGGTCGGTGTCATGCCGTAGCTTCTGGTGGCCCTGGTCCTCGGTTGTCAGTGAACGGACCAATCGTCTGCAATCTTCTGCGTACCTAGCAACATCAGAAATTGAAGTGTACTCAGAGGAGTCGGCCGTGTATGGGAGCATAGTGTGCAGCGTGCATGATGGTTCACGCCCGTACAACAGAAAGAAAGGGGAAAACCCTGTTGTCGCGTGCGTAGCGGTGTTATACGCATACGTGACGAATGGAAGGACAGTGTCCCAATTGGTCTGGTCTGAAGCTGTGTACATCATCAACATATCACCGAGAGTGCTATTAAATCGTTCTGTGAGGCCATTCGTCTGCGGGTGATATGCTGTCATGCGATGAACCATGTTGCACTGAGCGAGCAAGGCTTGAATGGCATCATACAAGAAAACACGCCCCTGGTCGCTCAAAAGTTTGCGGAGAGCACCATGGCGAAGAACAAAGTTTTGCAAAATGAAAAACGCAACTTCCCTCGCGGTTGCTGCGGGTAGTGCTGCCGTCTCCGCGTAACGCGCGAGGTGCTCCCCGTTGACAATTATCCACCTATTTCCAGAATACGACGTGGGAAGTGGTCCGTATAAGTCGATACCGACGCGGTCAAATGGATGCGCTGGACAAGGCACAGGCTGAAGTGCACCGGCAGTGCGTTGAGGTGGGGCCTTATGTCGTTGGCATGCAGTACAAGCATGTACGTACTTGCGAACGAATGTGTACATGCCGCGCCAGTAGTACCGCTGACGTAGACGGTGGTATCTTTTGAGAGCGCCGGCGTGAGCGCTTTGTGGGTCGTTGTGAAAAGCAGTACAGATTTCCGAGCGCATGTGGTTGGGTATCGCAAACAGCCAACTCCGACCTTCAGACGTGTAATTCCGCCGATAGAGGAGGTCGTCTCGAATAGCGAAATGTATGGCTTGACGGCAGAGAGTTCTTGAGACCAAATTAGCTAACGGATCAGTCAGAAAGGCGAGGAGTTGGGAAATCCACACATCTTTGCGTTGTTCTGATGCCATGTCTGTGAAGTCGATTGGTGTTATGACAGCTGAATAAGGTGACGAGGAGGTTGGGTCAGCCGGTAACGGCGAGTGGGATAGCGAGTCAGGGAGTGCTTGCGGCCGGATCGGTATACAACACGAATGTCGTATTCTTGTAGGCGAAGCGCCCAACAACCAAGGCGCCCCGACGGGTCTTTGAGCGATGATAGCCGGAATACAGCGTGGTGGTCCGTGACGACTTCGAAAGGGCGGCCATAAAGGTATGGGCGGAACTTCGCCAAAGCCCAGACAATTGCGAGGCACTCTTTCTCCGTGACGTAATAATTACACTCAGCTTTCTTGAGGGTTCGACTCGCGTAAGCGACCACGTATTCTTGGTATCCTGGTTTTCGTTGAGCCAATACAGCACCAAGACCGACACCACTGGCGTCGGTGTGGACCTCCGTAGGTGCATCGGGGTCAAAATGACGTAGTATTGGAGGTGATAATAATGACCGTTGAAGCGCGGTGAAGGATTCGTCGCACTCTTTTGACCAAGCAGAAAGGCCTTTGGAAGTTGTCAACAGGTTGGTAAGAGGCACGATGATGGAAGAGAAGTTGCGCACAAATCGACGAAAGTATGAGCACAGGCTGATAAAACTTCGAAGCGTCTTGATGGAATTGGGTTTCGGATAGTCGGCCACGGCGCGGAGTTTCGCCGGATCCGGGAGAACACCCTCTTTGCAGACGACGTGACTCAATATAGGGAGCCGACGTGCGGCAAAATGGCACTTCTTGATGTTAAGTTGAAGGCCAGCAGAGGTGAGACACGTGAGAATAGCACGAAGACGAACAAGGTGAGTCGAAAAGTTGTGAGAAAAAACGACAATGTCGTCTAGGTAGCAGAGGCACGTGTTCCA